AATTTTCTAATTCTCTGACAGCAACAGGAAATCCTACAATTCAATTCAATTCTGGCACAAACGACCTGGAGTTAACCTCAGACTCCACAGGGCTAAGGCCTCAAACCCACAAGACTGTCCTCATTTCTGATACAATTCACAGATACCAGGTCCCTAGCTTATGAACACTTCAGTCTTACTTGGCTGCAAAGTCAGGAGTTCCTGGCCTCCCCAGGTCTGATAATTAATTAAACCAACTTACAGATGTCAGGAGAGTGCTGAACTCGCTATTGCAGTTTATTATTATCTCCGTCCATTTTGTGCTGCTATGACAGAATACCTGAGACTGGGAAAGTTATCATAAACAGAAACTTGCTTTATTGTTGTCCCGGCTGGGAAGACCTAGATTGAAGGGCTATATACGGCAAGGGCCTTCTTTCTGTGTCATCCATGGTGGAAAGCAGAAGGGCAACAGATGGTAAGAGCGAGAGAGAGCAAGAGGTTGAACTCGCAGCCTCAGGCCTTTTTGTGATTGGCATTTATGAGGGCAGAGCCTGCATGGCCCAGTCATCTCTCAGAGACCCCACCTCTTAGCACTGTTGCTTTGTGGATTCAGTTTCCAACAAAGGCTTTTTTCAGGGAAACATTTAAGCCTTATATATCATAAAGTATAAAAATGGGCAACCAGATGAAGAGGCACACTGGGTGAGTTCTGGGAGGGTCCTGAGCACAGAAGCCTCTGTCCCATGGAGCTGGGGTACATTGTTCTCCCAGCATGGGGATGTGTTCACCATTTGGGAAGCTCTCCAAACTCCATTGTCTAGAGGATTTTATGGAAGTTTTATTGTGTAGGCAAGATTGCTTAACTCGTTGGCCATTAGTGGTTGAACTCAACTTTCAGCTTCTCTTCTCTTCCAAAAGGTTAAGGATGAAGCTGAAAATTCCAACAACACCCTAGATACAGCCTGGTGTTTTGGGCAGCCAGTTCTCATCCTAAAGTTATCTAGGAGCCCCTCAGTCAAGAGCCATCCTATTAGCCCGCTAACGATGTGCTTGTCACTGAAGATCTTGTGAGGGTTTTGTTAGGAAACAGGGAGGAAGAACAAATATTTTTCCTGTACCACATATCATCCCTTTGTCTATGATCACATATATCTTTTTAAATTTTATTTATTTACCTATTGATATTTTTAGAGACAGGGTTTTGCTCTATTCCCCAGGCTGCAACGCAGTGGCAGGATCATAGCTCACTGTACCCTCAAACTCCTGGGTTCAAGGAATCTTCCTGCTCCAGCCTTCTGCCACTACTTCTGACTCATTTTAAACAATTTTGAAGAGATGGGGTCTCACTATGTTTCCCAGGCTGGTCTTGAACTCCTGCCTTAAGTGATCCTTCTGTTTTGCCCTCTCAAAGCACTAGATTACTGGCATGAGCCACCTTGCCTGACTGACCACAGATACTGGTACAAGAGTCCTATTTAGTTTAATAATTACTCCAGTCCAGCAACAGGAATGGTCTCAGCAACATGTGTCTTTGCCTTTTTAGACATCTGGTATAATTGAACTAAGAGACAATATAATCACTTAACACCTCTTTTTAGGAGTTCGTGTAATATTGGCTTTTTCTCATTACAAAACCCATTTATTCCTTCATGTACCCACGTCTATTCTTCCTCCTTCTCTCTTTATATAAAAAAATTTTTGATTTGGAAGAGACTATAGGTTCGGGTATTGTGCTGGCCTAGGACAGGCTGCAATACTATTCTAGTAAGTATCTGCTTCCAGTCCACTCCTGGTCACAGAGGGCAGGGGTATGAAGGTACAGAACAAGTGGGCTATCTGGCCATCAGTCAATATAGCCGCATTCACCGTTAACCCTGATCTTTCCAGATGAAGTGAAAGCACAACCCACTCCTTCAGGCCCTTAGGAATTATTTCTCAATGATTTAAAAGTATACATACAGTTACTTGCGCAGGAATCCATCCTTTTTCTGACATTTTTGTTAAATCTCAAGTCCTGGGATCACTGCATCAGGTAGGAAAAAAAGTCCTGCCCATCTCTGGTATGTCTCACCTCCCGCCCAGATCTGATCCCCTGAATCTCAAGCTCAGGGTAGGTTCCTTCCCTTCCTGCAGCCAGGTCAGAGTGATGTTGGCAGGTGAGAAGCCAGGTTCTCAGCATGGCAGGGTGTGGTGGCCCTCAGAGTCCTCCTTATCCCTGACCCCCACCCTGGGGATGGGACACTGGATGCGGGAGAGAGAGAGCAGAGAGGTGGAATGTGGGTGGGACTTACCTCAGCCTCTCCCTCACCCCTTTGTGTTCCTCCACAAACCAGTGACCTCCCTCCCTCAGCCCCAGGACTTCTAATGCCTCAGAAAGGAAGGGGAGGCCTGGGCCTTCACCACTGCCTGCAGAAAGCCTTTTCATAATTGTGCCCACCTCCATTCCCACCACAGCTTTAGAGCCTGCCCCTGTGCAGAGACCTGGGTGTATGCCGAGGGTGATCCCGGAAGGTTCTTCCTTCAAATATCTGCATGGTTCAGTTTCTTTCCTTCTCAAGTCTGCTCAAATGACACCTCTATGAGGCCCGCCCTGACCACCCTATTTAAAATTGTCACCCGTATTACTTTGCATTGATTACTGACTTTGCTTTTTCCTTTTATCTCCTATTACATTCTCAGTACAAAAAAGCTTTTCCCAAGATGACCTCAATAATGTTTCCCATCCCACATGTGCTTTAGCAGTGGGACCTTTCCATCCCTAACAAGAGCTGAGGCTAATCCCCTCCTTTTGGACCTGTGACTTGCTTAGGTGGCTGGAACATGTGGAAAGTGACCCTGCCTGACTCCGAGATTCTGATGTGTGTGGTTGCTTGAAATACCCACTCCTAGAGCCCAGGTGTGGAGTTGGAAGCATCCAGGCCACGTGGGGTAGCTGGTGGAAGAGAAACCAACTACCTGGTTCACAGCCCCAGGGAGCTCCCAGCCCATAGCTAGTACTGCCTGTGGCCCAGCACGGGAGCCCTCTTGAGTGTTCTGGGGCAGTCGGGCTCCAGATGACAGCAGACCCAGCCTGTGTCACATGGAGCAGAAGAGCTTCCCAGCTGAGCCCTGTCAACCCACAGAAATAGAGATAATAAAATTTGTTGTTTTGTTTTAGGATTCTTTGTTGCTGCAATACATCCATATAATCTACTACTGTTGTTTTGTTTTTATTTTGTCTATCTCTCAGACTGTAAGCATCTCAGACTGTAAGGGAGCAGGTGTTTGTCTCTTTCCATTAAATGATCAACAGGCCTAGAATAATGTTTGGCCCAGAGGCATTCACTAAATATTTGTAAATAGATGAATACATGCTGTGACAAGAATTTCTTAAAGCTGGATCTGAGACTGGAAAGGGGCAGTTACTGGTGTTTGGTTGTGAGGGTCAACTCGAGCTGCCATAACAAAACACCACAGACTATGGTGGCTTACACCACAGAAATTAGTTTCTCATAATTCTGGAACCTGGAAGTCTGAGATTAGGAAGCCAGCAGGTTCAATTCCTGGTGAGGGTTATTTTCCTGGCTGGCAGACAGCTGCCTTCTTGCTATATCCTCACAGGGTAAAGAGAGCAGGAACTCCAGTCTCTTCCTCTTCTTATAAGGACACTAATCCTATCATGGTGGGCCCAACTACTCAACTCATCTGATCTAATTATCCCCGAAGGTCCCCACTTACTTCATCATATGTCACATTGGGGTTTAGAGCTTTGACATATGGATTTGAGGGGGATACAAACATTCAATCCATTACAATATCTTAAGGTCGAGGTCCTGGAACACTGGTTTCTGTTGAGGCCTCTCTTTTTGGCTTTTAGATGGCCACCTTCTCATTATGTTTTCATATGACTTTTCTTTTGTGTGCATGCAGAAAGAGAGAAATCGCTGATGTCTCTTTCTCTTGTAAACAACAGTCCTATGAGAGTAGGACCCCACCCATATGATCTCATTTAACCGTACTTTTCTCCTTAAAGGCTTTATTTCCAAATGTTATCACAATAGAGGTTAGAGTTTTTACATACAAATTTTCAGGGACACAATTCAGTCATAGCATGACTGTGGTATGTGTGTGGTCCTGGTTTAGTGAGCCCTTCAAGACACTACTCAGTGCTGCCCCAGACTCAAAATTTAGCCCACAAACACTGCAGCCCAGCAGACCCTGATCACCAACAGCTTTTGATGCCTCTTGGGCCCAGATGAGAGTATCTAGGCTGCAGGGATGTGCTGGGCTACTGCCCAGATGGTAGCACGGCTCGGCTGCAGTATTTTGGGCTCCAGGGAACTCTCCCCAGGCTTCTGGACACCTAAAGTCCTGATCTATAAGGTAGAAATGGGATTTGAAGTCGAGGTGGTGGATATCCTAAGTTAAGGGGCTGAAAATGGCAGAGAGAGGGGCCTGAGGGATCTAGAGCAAGGTTAAAGGTATTTGTGTCACCAGAGGAGAAAGAGACAACATCCCTGGGTCTGTGGGCAGAGAGCTGCAGAGGGGGCAGAGGCTACCTGGGAACCTTGGAAATAGTAGTTGGTGGCCTTGGTCCTACTACAAGATCCTCATAACCCACGATAGTGTCTTGTCTCTTCTGTGTCCAGTACATGGTCTTTCAGACTTATTGACCTGACTCCAGCTATCATAGGTGAGGAAGGAAGTCGCTGTGACAGTGGGCCACTAAATATTGGTCTCAGACACTGCCATGAAGTCCTAGGCAGTGAGTGGGATGCTGGAAACCCCAGGAATTTAGGACAACAACTGATCCATATGGGTGGGGCACAGACACCTCCCTCTCTATGGCCCAGGACCCAGAATATCCTTTCCAAACATGATCTTTCAGGAGACCCCTAGACCAGTCCTTTCCATGTCATCCTTCTCCCTCCCTGGCTCCTTCCTCTCCTCATAACCCCTACCCACTGATGTCCGTATTTCCTCCCTGTCTTCACTTCCCCAGGAGCCTCCCCCTTTCCTGGGGCTAAGGCTCCAGTGGCCACTCCTCCAAGATCCTAGAGTCTAAGACTCCCTGGACTGAGTCCCAGGTGGAGGGGCCTCGACCCTCAGAGGCAGCAGCAGAAACAAGTAACACAGACTCCAGAGTCCAAGGTCTCATCCCAAAAGAGTGATGGCATCTCATATGTCTGCTGTGTCCACTCAAGACCCAGGAACCACTTACTGTGGCGAGGAGACCTCACTCCGCCCTAAGACGAGAGTCCTTTGTCACTCAATGCAGAGGTAACTTTTATATCAGCGTGGATTTTTTTGAAACACAGATCCCAAACCTGACACGGGAGGTGGTGCACTCTTCTATGCAGGGCTCTGTCCTGCTGCTGGGAACCCAGGGGGACCCGGAGAGGTCCTGGCTGAGCAGTTGAGACTGGAGCTCAGATCCTCTGTCCTTATTCCTGTGGTCACACGGGGGCGCCGCCGTGCTGCCCTCGGATTCTGACTGAGCCTGCTGGAGGGGTCTGGGCTGTCAGAGTTGGGCGACATGGGGCTGGGCATCTGGAGGATGAAGGAGACTCTGAACAGCCCTGGACTCCACGGGAGTTTGAGGCGAGGAGGGCTCAGGAGCCTTGTGCTGTCCCTGAGGTTTCGGCCTCCTTCCTGCAGCTCCTGGTTCCAGCCCTTGATGGCAACACCCTGGAAAACAGAAAAGTAGAAACATTTTCTTCTACTCCCTAATTTTTTCTCCAATGCTTCTTCTTTTCTTTTTCGCATAGATATGACATTCTTTTATTAATGTGCATATTTTCTAGTCACCATATTCAATATCTTAGCTAAGTTTGACTTTTCACTTCATACTCTGTTTCAGAAATAATTTTCAGGGAATAAAATACATATCTTGGTATTTTTAGATAGTATTGACCAAAATGTTTAGAAGAAAACAAGCATGCTTGCCTTTATATGCCTTTTTAAGTTAAAAAGATAATCGATATACAGACACAGTATCATTTTAACATAATCGCCAGTAGTTTAAACATTGTTTAAGATAAATTCTACTTTAATGCACTTGTAACAACACGTATAACTTCTTTTCAGGAAGGACACATGAGACATTGGTGACATACTCATCTCTGGTAGGAGACTTGGGTGACTGTTGTCTGGGGAGGGAGGAATTTTCCCCTGTAAGCCTTTTGGAATGTCTTGAAGGATCTTTTCAGAGCATGTTGCATGAAAAATCCCTCTTATTGGCAAGACCCTCTCCAGTGACCATCGAGTATACCCAGAAGGGGCCCTGTGATGGAGTCTGGACTCTGGCCACCACCGGGTCATCCTTTCCGGTCGCCCAGGTGTCCACCCCTCTGTGCCTCTGCACTGTCACTCCCCTGCCGGAAGACTCAACTCCAAGGATTCTTCCCTGCCAGACTTTCTCCTCAGAGTTCCCATAGAAACCTGCCCTGCACTGCTGGCCTCATGTGGACATTCCAGACCCCCTCTGACCCCACCCTGCTTTGCTTTTGTTCACAACCCTTTTACCAACATTACAGAATATGTTTATGTTAATTGCCAAGTCTCAATCCTATAGAATACAAGCTTTGTGAGGGTAAACACAGGGATTTTAATTGTTTGCAGCTGTATTTTTGTTTCCTTGAAAGTGACTGATTGTTATTTCAAGCATATTTGTTGGTGAGTGAATGAGTGAATGTACACAGATTCATATTCACACTCAGACTCACATACAACAAAACAGTGACACAAAGATACCTTACATAAATTGACACAACTCTCTCTCAGATACTCTCCACAAATTAGCACATTCACACACAGGATACACACAACTGATATACTGACATGTTCTCATACACACATACTCTGGGAGCTTCATTTTCATTCGACGTGATGTTTTGAAAATTTCTCAACATGTATTATTAACTTTTAAATTTTCTCCAAATTAATGAAAAAATTTCAAAGATTCCTTAGGTTTGAGAGAGTGCAATGGTCATCCTAGCTCTAATTATCTCTTTTAGGTGTGTAATAAATTATATTTCTATAATGTTGCTGAAACAATTGAAATCACTGGCCAACATATGACCCTCATTCCTAAATACTTCAGTGCTCATCTGTTCAAAATAACATATCAAACAATAACTGTATTATTACACTGAAGAGAGTTGCCATCAATCCCTAATAGCATACAATCTCTGAGTAATATAAAATATTCTTGATTATTTCCCCATGGCTTCCACATAGAGGCGAGCAGAACTCAGGGTCCCTCGACCCTCTCTGAGGTTCCTTCTTCCTGCAACTCTCTCCAGCCCTGACAGCAATGTGCTGGAAAAAGGAAAATAGAAATATTTTCTTCTCCTCCCTATTTCTCAACTTATTGAAATTTCCCTGTTCACTCAGTTTTCCCTTACCAGGAACAACACCTCCATGTCCAAATGACGTTCCCCAGTGTGGACGTGCACATTGGCACTGTCAAGACTGAGCGCAGAGCTCCCCTAGACTGACGTCCCCTCAGCAGGGCAGAAAGGGCCCGGTGACAGGGTCATACGTGGTGCTCAGAAGTCCCACTCCCAGCAGCAGGACTGCCCTGAGACCTGGAGTGAGCACTCCCCTCCCTCAGTAACTCCATCCTGTCATCTGGAGGTCCAGAAAGGGTCCAAGCAGCACTCGATCCCACCACTCCAACTTTCCTCACCTCCACCCACAGAGTCCAGGTGAGGCCCAGCCCTGCCCCTCCATCCGTCATTTCTCACAACCTCACCACCATCCTCTGCCTCGAGTCCACCAGGATGGACCTCAGCATGCCCTCTGCCTTGTCTGTGTCACTCACCCCAGGTCCCCTTACTACCCTGCACTTGTGTCCCCGCGATGCTCTGCACACCCCTATCCTGTCTTCCTCCACATCCCTCCTCAACTCAGAACTCTTTCCACTGTGGCCCCTGGAATTCTCAGCCCATGATCAGCAAAACCTCCACATCCTCTCTTCAACAGAATCCTGGGTCTTCCTGAGGACACAGCCCTTTATGAAATCCTCTCACATGGAGAGTTCCCCCAGGGACCTTGTACCCACGGGCAGGGAAGTGGGGTGGGCTCCTCGCTCCTCATTGTGGTTCTCAGACCTTTCTGCCTCCCTCCTCCCTAACTTCCCTAACCTGACATGAGATTAGGCCCCCACTTCCCTCATTGTAGACATTCCCTCTGGGCCCCAGGCTGTACCTCTCACTCCTTATTCCTGTGGCTCTTGGCTCACTGTGACCCTCTCTATCAATGCTGTTTCCTTGATCCTTCGTAACTTCAACACATTGCAGATATGGAAGGCTGAGGAGTAATCCCCAAAGGTGTTCAGTCTTCCATCCTTTGAACCTGTGAAGAGGTTGCATTACACAGCAAAAGGAACATTATTGGTGTAAATAATGCTAAGGGCTTTACAATAGAGAGATTGCCCTGAACTATCTGTGTAGCCCAATAACATCACACAAGTCTTTAAATTAAAGACCTGCTCTGGCTGGAGTCAGATGCTGCAGAGGAGGAAGACAAGAGATGCAGAGGAGGGTAAGTCAGAGGTTACAAGAGAGAGGGAGATTAGATGTGCCATAGGGGCCATGTGTGAGGACCAAGAGAGGACTCTGGGAGCTAAGGGTGGTTTCTGGATGGCAGCCAGCAAGAAAATGGGGACATGAGTCCCATATCTGCAGGGAATCAAAAAATTTTTTTTTTGAGTTGGAGTCTCACTCTGTCACCCAGACTGGAGTGCAGTGGCCGCTCTCGGCCACCGCAGCCTTGACCTGCTGGACTCCGGTGATCCTTCCGCCTCAGTCTTCCAAGTAGCTGGAACTACAGGCGCACGCCACTAAGCCCAGCTAATTTTTTGATTTATTGTAGAGATGAGGTCTCACCAAGTTGCCCAGGCGGGTCTCGAACCCGCGGGTTCAGGCAATCCACTCACCTCAACCTCCCAAAGCGCGGGATTACAGGCTGAGCCACCAAGCCCGACTGGGAATCAAATTTAAACAACAACTTGAATGAGTTTGCAAGTGGATTCTTCCCCCAGAATCTCCAGGAAGAATCACAGACCTGACCATACCTTGATCTTAGCTTCCTGGGATCATGTCTGAATTGTTGTAACCCACATAACTGTGACATGATAAATAGGTGCTGTTTAACTCTTGGTCTGTGGTAATTTTATAACCGCGACAGACACCCACGCAGGACTCCCTTGCTCCCTGGCTTCTCAGATGCCAGAACTCCTCTCCTCCAGGACCTTCTCTTCTGTTCTCCTGGGCCTCATGCCCTTGCAGCCCCAAGACCTTGTCATGGCCAAGACCCCCAGCCCTTCCACAGTCTCAGTGTCATGCTTCCTACTCTCTGGCCATCTTCCCACTTGCCCCCTTGCAGGGTGGTCACAGGTTCTGAGGACATTGAGACGATTATTTTATAGTACATTGTGATATAATATCAGGATATCACTCATTGCACATGTGCCTGTTTCCCGGCCTGGACCCCACCCTGTGGTACATCAATTCCACTATCCTTTACCCCCCTGGGATTCCCAGTCTACTGATCCTGCCCTCTACCCACTGTCCTTCAGCCTTGGTGTCCTCTCCTCCCGCCTCACCCATTTTGAATTCTGTGGTGAATAACTTCAATCTCTCCCTGCCTTCCATTGCTTTGTCATATTTCCTTGACAAACTACTCAGCTGTGGATTCTGCCTCTGCCTGCTCTGTACCTGCCCCATGAGCTGCAGGAGACTGAAGAGCAATACACAGCCGTGCTGATTGCTCTGTCTAATGTCATCACCCTAACCTCATTGGAGCCTATCCCATGGCCAGCCATCACCCTCTCCCTGCATGAGGCACCCTCAGTCTCCTCCTGGCAGACTCTTCCCACCCTCTCTCCTTGTTTACAAATGTAGCCCTCCTTTATCATTTTTACTGTAGTCAACAATCTTGCTTTCTGCTTCACTGGGAAAACTGACACAGGAGAAGATGACGTTCACAGATTCCACCACCATCTGCTTGTGCATTGGCAGCTGTACCACATGCCGGGCCTTCCACCATGTAGATAGTTATTGGAGGTTACACATCCTGCTCCCAGCCAGGGTGAGTCTCTCTGCTGCTGCCCAAACCCTCATCTCTCCTCGTCTACTTAGAGGAGGTGGTTCATTAATTCATCTCTGTTTTCTCTTGCATCACTGCCCTTTTTCTCTCTCTCCAATAAATCATATGGAGTCACAAGAAGGCCCATCCCGGCCCTCAGCTAGGGGATGCATCATTGATAATTGCCCAACTGTTTCAGCCTGAAATCTGTCACCATATTCACTCTAAGACCATGCTTACCAAAAACTTCTTCCAGCCAATGATTGAGAACAGCAGGAAAACTAAGTTCCTCCTCTGAGGACTGACTGAGGCTGCAGGACTCTCTAATGTACTTTCTGAATTTCCTAGCCTGCACTGAACCTAGGCCACTTCCAGCTAGCCTTCCCTCCCTCTCTTCCTCACTGGGATTCACACTTGCATTGCAGTCTGCTGTCTGTCTCAGTCTTTTCTGTCTTCCTCCACATTTCTCTAACAAGCATCTCCCCTAATAAATTTTTTCACATTTAATACTGTATTGAGGTCTACTCCTCAGGGCACCCTAACTAATACCAGCAGTATCAGGAATGGTCTAAGAACACAGGAACACACTCTGCCACCAGCTGGCAGAGTGTAAGGACGCCATCTAGGCTGGTGGGTGAAGAAAGTTCATGGCACAAGGTCACAGCTGAACTCCTGTGGATGGCCCTGGTGGTGACCTGAGACGGTGCCCTGGTTAGGGGGTGCTATGGCAGATGGGATGATAGAAGTCTTTGCATGATGGAAAAGGAGGGAAACCTAAAAAGATGATGGCAGTGGCTGGTTCCTGCTAGGCAATTTTGGTGCCTATGGAGGGTTGATGAGAATCAGAGGATTCTTCACAGAATTCCTGGGTACATATGAAAGCCTCTGTAGTGTCTTAGGAGAGGGCTTTATCTCCAATAGAGGAAGGCAGACACAGTGGAGTGGCAACTGGAGACATCATTGTGAGGGTCACAGTACCCAGAGATGCCTGGACCCTCAGCCAAGGCAGACCTGTTGTGTGAAACTCAGGGCCCTGGCAGGGAAACCTGAGGTTCTGCAAATAGGAACATGGTTATCCCGTGATACTCTCCAGGATCCTCCAGGTGTGGAGAGGAGGCTCACCCTTCTCTGGTGATGGCTCCCACTTCCTGTGCTGGAAGATGCTGCAGGTGTCTCACCCTATGATGCAACAGGAAGCCGACTCAGGAGCTCTGCAAGAACTAGCCGGACATCCCTGTAGGACCCGAGGAACACTTCTGGGATTGGAGTGTGAGGGTGTTTGATTAAGGGGCCAGAATGTCAGGCTGAATAAACAAAAATTCTTTGCTGAGGGACACTTTCTCAAGACACAGTTTATCAAAGACCTCAGGGTATGGGACACTCTGGGGATAGCTCCCCATATCATAGAAAAGAATGTTCAACTCTCAGTAAGTTAGTCAAGACCTAGTAGCTCTGGGAAATATAGTGGATGGGATAACACAGCTGAGGGAAGAGGTCATGTGGGTTGGAGACTTATGTG